GATTCACTTCAGTTCAGTGTGGATTCACTTCAGTGTCAGTGTCGGTTCACTTCAGTTCAGTGTCGGTTCACTTTATTTCAGTGTGGATTCACTTCAGTTCAGCCGATTCACTTCAGTTCAGTGACGAAAAAGATCTTCAGAGAAGAAAGTCTTAAATTCATAAAGTCGTGGCATTAAATGTTGAATCTCTTCCTCCGTATTACTGTCTTGTTTTCCAGTACAAATATCTAAACATCCCTAAACCAAGGCACATTTACTGAAGAAGCAAAATGAACACATGGAAGTGAACTGAACAAAATAAAGTGAATTTATGATTAAAACAAGAGCAAATATCTGTCAATGGGAATGAACATTTGTTTCCCTTTGAATGAAGTTGATTTTTCTGAGTCCATTAGCAGATATTTGTTCTTGTTTTAATCATAAACTCACTTCATTTAGATCAGTTTCTCAGAAAACAAGACTTCTTATTTTAAGTCATTTGTTTCTCCAGTAAATGTGTCTTGATTTATCGCTGGAAATAAGACAAAAATACTGAGGAAGAGCAGCAGCTTTTGCCATGTAATCAGAAGATACAGTAAAAGTTATTTCAGTATATATTTTTTTGAGTAAAATTAATGAAAATGTAATGGAGATCTGTTGGAAGTTGTATTTTCAGTCTGTGAAGTGTTGCTAATACACAACATTTATATTTAGAGATCATTCTGACGTATTGTGTTCTCTTTAGTTTATTCCTGACATGATCTTGCTCTTAAAAAAGTCTTACATTTCTTCACAAAGGTTTTAAGTTTACCTTCAGAAAACCTGCAGAACTCTGTCTTCCGTCCAGTAACAGAATCAGCGCTGAATAACTGTTGATGTCTGCTCTCTCAGGTGTTTCCTCAGGGGATGGAGGTGAGGTTATACGCTCCTCCTGTTCCTCCGTTTGACGCCAGCATCATCGTCATGCTGATGCTCGCCGTGTTTACGGTGACGATGGGTGGATTCTGGAGCGGCGCGGCTGAGAAGTGAGTTGCTCGTCATCATCGTTAGCTCTCATGTTGATCAGGTGTTGGCTGATGGGACGTGTGTGTGTGTGCTCAGACTGAAGCAGGCCCCAGGTCCGGTGTGTGACGCAGCTGAGGGACGCTCTGACAGCAGCGAGCTCTCGCTCTACTCTCCGCTGAAGGTGCTGCTGTTCGTGGCCATGATGTGTGTGATGCTGGTGCTCATGTACTTCTTCTACCGCTGGCTGGGTGAGTCCTGCTGCTTCACTGTCTGCAGGAAGTGACACGAGCAGCGTGACTGATGCTTGCTTTCTCCTGCAGTTTATGTGATTATCGTCATATTCTGCCTGGCGTCAGCATCAGCGCTCTATAACTGCCTGGATTCACTGATGACTGCACTGGGCTGCAGCACGCTCAGGTCAGAAAACGCACGCACGCACACACACGCACACACTCACACACACACACGCACTCACACACACACACACACTCACACACACACACACACACACACACACACACACACACACACACACACACACACAAGCAAAGTTTGATCACAAATGCATAGCTGTATACTTACTGTAACAGTAGCTATAATGGTTACTAAAACTGACAGTAATTATAACAATAATTGTAATCATAAAATTAAAAAAATATATAAAAAATCTTTAAACATTAGATGAAAGACTTGAAAAATGTAAACGAAAACTTAGTTACTTTGGCAGCTGACTAAAAAACATTAAATTGAAATACTAAAATTAAAACTGAAATAAAAATAAAAGCTAAATAAAAATATTTTAAAAAATTAATAAAAACGTAAAAACCACATAATTACTTAAAACTTAAACTAAAATTGTGAAAAAGTGAAAGTGGTTCAAAATATTAATAAATACTATAATACCATATTTTCTGAAAAATAAGTCACGCCTGACTGTAAGTTGCACCAGGACAGAAGTGCATTGTTGAAAAAACAAATTACATCAGTGTATAAGGCAAATTCTGTAAAATACTGGTAAATAAAATGAAGTATTTACAAACATTATAAACTCTATAAATATGTATTTTTGTTCCCGTCACTCCACGACAAATCCTTTAAATTGAACAGTATTCAGAACACAGCAGGAATGAAAAATAAGAAATATAAATTATGGTGGCATTCTTGAAAAACAACATTTATTATACACATATTTATGAACTGAAGTTATTTGAAATGAAACTGAATCTTGTGGAAATGTTGTGTGAAATGCTCTTTACAAATAAATGCTCCTCTCAGTCGACACTGATCCACATGTGAACTAAACTGCGTTATAAACTCTTTGCGGAATATGAGTCACAGTATGTTATAAATGATAAAAAACGTGACTTATATTCTTATATAAATGTGGTAGCACATGAAGAGTACTAGAGCAGCAGTGTTGTGGAGAGTCTGCTGCGCTCAGGGTGTGTGTTCTTCTGCTGATGTCAGTGAGGTTTGGCTCTGATTCTGAACTCTGTGTTGTTTTTCCAGTGTTTCCTGCAGAGAGAGAAGTGTTCCTGTGCGTTCACTGCTGCTCGCCGCCGTCTGCATCACACTGTCTGTCATCTGGGGAGTGTACCGCAACGACGACAGGTCTGTCTCACACACACACACACACACTAACACACTCACACAGACACGCACTCACACACACACACACACACACACACACACACGCTCTCTCTCTCTCTCTCTCTCTCTCACACACACACACAGCTCTGTGTTCCTGCTCTGGTCAGTTTATAGCGTGGTTTGTTTTCAGAGCGTCATGCTGCCGTTTCCTCGACACACACACGTCTGTTCCAGACTGATTCACACACATTTCGTCACTCAGCGTCAGACTGTCCAGTGAAAGTGTTTTTACTTCCAGCTCAACAGAACTCAGTCTCTGATGTCAGCAGACGAGTCTCTTCCCATTCACTGTGGTCATTCTGAGTTTCTCACTTCTGCATTCAGTGTGTGTTTGAGTTTTTGTGCGTGTGGATCTTTATCTGCTGAAACACACAGCAGACTGTGTCATAACTGCTGCTTTCTATCACTGTATAATAACACAGAGTAGGGCTGCACAATTATTCAGAATAAAACCATAATTGTGCAGTTAACAAATTGCAAAGGCTGCGACTGAAATAAATAATCATGCACTGTGTTTATTTCCATGCGAACAGCACATGCTGCAGTGTATTTATTAATAAATACTCAAACATTGAAATATTACTATAGTAATATTTCTTATTTTGTTTAATAATATTATAACTTTTTTTTTATGCATTTTAAGTTGCAATAGCAATTTTTATTAAAAAATTCACAGCACTCCTGCACAGAGACCGAGTTTGAATCGTCTCTCACATGATCTGAGCGCTTCTGACGGTGTGTCTGTGTTCTGCTCGTCTGCAGGTGGATCTGGATTCTTCAGGATCTGCTGGGAATCGCCTTCTGCCTGAACTTCCTGAAAACCATCAGCCTGTCCAACTTTAAGGTGAGCTGTGTTTTCAGTGGCGCGAGCAGCGCTGTGCTGCATGTCTGACGTGTGTTACTCGTTTCTGCAGATCTGCGTGATTCTGCTCAGTCTGCTGCTGGTCTACGACGTCTTCTTCGTCTTCATCACGCCGTTCCTGACGCCGGTGAGTAGCAGCGGATCCACACTCAGCAGCGTCTGCTCATGCTCTTATCTTGTGTGTGTGTGTGTGTTTCAGAATGGAGAGAGCATCATGGTGCAGGTGGCTCTCGGCCCCGGCGCGGGAGGGAAGGTGAGTGCGAGCGCATCATGTGATCTGTGTGTGATTGATGTAAGGCTCACTAACGGCAGCTTCTGGTTTTAGGGTGACAGCAATGTAGTGGAGGTTCCAGGCGACAACACGTCCTCCTACGAGAAAGTAAGACACACACACACTCACACACTCACATACATTTTATTCTTTTATTTGGATCCACAAGACAAGCAACCACTCACACTCTCACACACACACACACACATATTGTAACAATATAAAGAATCAAGCAGCTGAGATTTGCCGTGTAGTATTTATCGCTTTATGCGTGTTGTGTGCATTATATATCCAACTGTAAATATATAGCTGTGTGATTATATAAAGCCTGTGTGTTTTCCAGTTGCCGGTAGTGATGCGTATCCCACAGTTCTCTGCGCTGGCTCAGAATCTGTGCATGATGCAGTTCTCCATCCTGGGCTATGGTGACATCATCATACCAGGTCAGAGCTTCACATGCATCATACGACACGTGTCCTGTGATCAGGACCAAACACCACCTCGAGCCAGCAGCTTTGACTCAGTGATGAATGAGCAACGTTAAAATGAATCTAGATAAAATAGTTCGTCAAGACAAACTTTAGGTTGGCTTGAGAAAGCCTAGCCTGAAAGTTTAAAGCAGTTGTAAAAGCCTGAAGGTTGAAAATTTAGATTAGATAGATGTTGATAACATGTTTCTAGCATGTTTTTAACATGATTGGCCTGTCACTAGCATATTGCTGGCATGATTAGCATGTTTCTAGCATGATTAGCATGTTACTAACATGTTGTTGGCATGTTTCTGGCATGATTAGCATGTCGCTAGGATAGATAGATAGATAAGAAATATTAGATAGATGAGTTTGAGTTTAATTGGATTAGAAATATTACATAGAAGGGAAGTCTGATTGTGTCTAATTGTCTTCAGTGTGTTTAGATTTGAATAGTGTTGGCTCATCTGAACATTCTGTCAATGTAAATCTATGGGATTTTTATGATTTTTAATCTTCATTTTTATGAAAACCACAAGTCGGATTAGTCTGAAAAGTAACTAAAGCAACCCAAGTCAGATCGGTCTGAAGAGCTGGGCTGAGTTTGGTGGTTCTAGCTGGAAATCTCTAGGAGGAGCAGCGTTCAGAAATTTAGTCTAATAAGAAGAAGAATAAAAAGCTTAAGTAGCAGATCAGTAGGTAGGCTTTCTCAAGCTAAATCTAATCAGTGCATCACTCGCTTAAACCCTGAACTCGCTGCAAACCCATGCCTTTGGCTCCTGATGGCCTCGTGTTTACGCCGGTTTCTGTCTGCAGGTCTGCTGGTGGCGTACTGCCACAGGTTTGACGTGTGGATGGGAAACTCCAGAAGAATCTACTTCATCTCCGGCGCCGTCGGTACGAGCATCGTGACTCAGATTGCAGTAATACTGTGTTCAGAGCGCTGTAACGGTGTGTTGTTCTGCAGCGTACGCCGTGGGTCTGGTGCTGACGTTCACAGTCATGCTGCTGTCGAAGATGGGTCAGCCGGCGCTGCTCTACCTGGTTCCCTGTACGCTCCTGACCAGCGCCGTCCTCGCCTGCGTCCGCAAGGAGTTCACACACTTCTGGAGCGGCACCGGGACCTACCAGGTGACAGGATTCTCCTGCTTCTGTCCCTTCTGTCTCTTGGCAGACAAGCAGCAGTCTGGATGTGATTTCATGAGCTTGTAACAGACTCGCACACAAGCGCTTCTACACACACGAGCTACAGTACAGAGTAGGGTCACGATACCATAAACACACGTTACCATACTGGACCAGCTGAAGTACACGACGCCATGAGAACTGAGATCAGTTACTCGGATCAGCAAGACTTGGGATGTTTTTAAAGAAGTCTCTTCTGCTCATCACGGCTGCATTTATTTGATCAGAAATACAGAAAAAAAACGTAATCTTGCAAAATGTTATTACAATATAAAATAATGGTTTCTATTTTAATATCCTTTCAAATATAATGTATTTCTGTGATGCGCAGCTGTATTTCCATCATCATTACTCCAGTATAAAGCGTCACATAATCTTCAGAAATCATTATAATATGCTGATTTATTATCAGTGCTGGAAACTGTAATATTTTTTGGAAACTGTGATACTTTTTTCAGGATTCTTTGATGAATAAAAAGTTAAAAAGAACAGCATTTATTCAAAATATAAATCTTTTCTAACAATATAAATCTTTGCTATCACTTCTTAACAATTTAACACATCCTCGCTGAATAAAAGCTTTAATTTCTTTCAAAAAAAAAGAAAGAATAAAAATGTACTGACCCCAAACTTTTGACCGGTAGTGTATATTGTTAGAAAAGATTTCTATTTTAAATAAATGCTCTTCTTTTTAACTTTTTATTCATCAAAGAATCCTGAAAAAAGTATCACAGTTTCCCCAAAAAATATTTGGCAGCACAACTGATAATAAATCAGCATATTAGAATTATTTCTGAAGATCATGTGACACTGAAGATGCTGAAAACTCAGCTGCGCATCACAGGAATAAATTAGATTTTAATGTATATTAAAATAGAAAAACATAATTTTACATCATAACAATATTTCACAATATTACTTTTTTCCTGTATTTCTGATCAAATAAATGCAGTCTTGATGAGCAGAAGAGACTTCTTTAAAAAACGTTACAAATCGTTCTGATCCCAAACTTTTGAGCGGTAGTGTATATCTTAATGTTAAGATGATTTTTATCATGCAAACGTGTGTGTGAGGGACAGAGCGGAAGAGCAGCGAGTGCCGCCCATCTCATAAATCAAAGCCCATGACAGACTGCTGTCGGAGAACACCTGAAAGAAGGACACTCGTCTGTATTTGCAGTTCAACACACCGCTTCTGCTCTGCTTCTGCATCCAGTGTGAGACCGCTGCCAACTCTACACAGCATTTTGCGCCCTTAAAGGGCACCGCAGAAAGGCGACAGGACAAAAAAAGACACTATTGTATTGTTTATTTGCAGCACAAGTGTTCAAACATTTTAGCGACTGCCCCACATACAGCATTACTTACGGCAGAACTGTAATGACGATCCTACCGTTTAAGAAATACAGTGGCACCACCGGTATTTTAGTATTGCGATACTACTGTAGTAAACCGTGCAACCCTAGTACAAAACACTACACAGTGTACAAATACACTGATTCTGAGACAACATTAGCATCAACAAATCAGCTCTTCTGCAGCTGCGCACATTTCTACAGCTTAAAGTCATAGTTCATTAAAAACTGAACATTTGCTGTTAATTTACTCTCAAACCGTCTAAGATATTGGATTACAGTAATAATGCTGTAAATAATGTTCAGTTTCTCGCACAGACTGATCGTTTCGCTTCATAAGATCTCAGTATATCGTCAGGAGACACGGGGATTCATTTAATGTTCCCTGATATTGAGTATTGACTCTCAAAGTGACGGTAGCAAGTTTTATGATTCACAGAGGAGCACGGCTTCAGCTAAAAATCCTCTTTACTGTCCTACTGAAGAACGAAAGCCGCCTCCATGGCCTGAGGAAGAGTAAATTAAAAGCTAATGTTCATGGTTCATATGTTCAATTCCCAGGGAATGCATAAACCTTGAATGCACTGTAAGTCTGCTAAATTCATAAATGCAACTAAGAGCAAGCTAAAGTTTTTAAAGTCTCAGCATATTTGCTTAAACAATAATAATGAAGCTGTATTTCTGGACAGGGACTTGAAGTCCATGTGTGTGTGTGTGTGTGTGTGTGTGTGTGTGTGTGTGTGTGTGTGTGTGAGATGTGTTATCCGAGAAACGGATATATGTGTGTATGCTGTGTTATAAGACTTGAAATGTGACTTGGTCTCCATCAGGTCCTGGACGAGTCTAGGAAGCCCTTATTATCAGGTTTGAGCTCTTGTTTTAGTCCTCCCTTCTTCATCACTTCTGCTCAGTGCTGCCCTCTGTCTGTGTGTCTGTGTGTCTGCATGTGTTCCTGCAGCTTCCTGCTCTAATGCCTCACTTCCTGCAGAGCACGTGTTCACCACATGGTGGCGCTACAGTGTGCAGATTCCCTGTAGATGTAGCTTGTGTCTCTCCAGCATGTTTATCTGATGATTTCAGTTTCTCTCCTGCTGGTTTGATGTAACTAACACACTGCCAAGTGTAGATATAGATATCATATATATCATTTTAAAAAATTTAATAAAGAAATATAATGTATATATGTGTGTGTGTGTGTGTATGCATACATCTCAATTTCACAAAATGTACCCTTATGACTGGTTTTGTGCTCCAGGGTCATTCATATACATACATGCATATATATTATATCATATTTTTTATTATATTTTAAAAATCTATTATTAAAATACATATATATATATATATAATAAGCATTAAATATCTATGTATAAATCATGATTTTTTTGCATTCTTGTGGTTTCAATAGTTCTTGCGTTTTTTTTTAATGTAAATTTTGAATTTTTGCATTAAAGTTATTGATGAATCATGATGCATGAGAACATGGTTAGTGAAGGAGACCCATTGTTTTTTTTTTACATTCTACTCAGTGAATTAAAACTAAATTAAAACAGATTTTTGTTAATGCTACTGGTAGTAAAATCTCTCCTAGCGACTATAGTTTAGTATTTGACTGTGTCGTGTCACTGCATCATCAGCAGCATCTGATGTGACCGTGTTTCTGTGTGTAACTCTGTTACAGTAACGTCTGTCTCTGTGTCTTCAGATGGAGATGCTGGTCACGCCGGCGGAGTGAGGAGCTGCTGAGATTCTGACTGATCTTCATCACTCAATCACACTGGGACACTTTACTAAAACATCAGACTGTCTGAAAATTATTCTTTAAGGGGCCTTAAATAACCAGATCATCCTGCTGTTTTTTGTCTTTCACTTTTTTATGCGATCATTTTTTTAATGTTGGGAATATTTGACAAAAGCCTCTCTTTCTCTGTAATCGAAATAAATACAAATCTGAAACCTGAAGTGAGTGATTGATCATTGAGTGACGTCAGTAAGTGTTTACACGCGCAGATTCAGTCTTCATCTGTCTGTATGTGTGACCGTGTGTCAGTGCAGAGGTTCGTGTCACACTGATTCATGTGTGCGGAAAGCATTTGTGAGACACGTGCAGTGCCAAATTATAGAAGGAAAACTGCTGTGGAAGGAATTATGATCTTGTTATGACGAATAGAGCTCAGTGGAATTATGCGGGTGTTACACCTGTTGTTCATAATATTAGCATGTGAGGTTTTTGGCCGTTGCATGTAATCCTGAGATGCAGCATATTTCAAAAAGTTATTTGTGACAAACCGATTTGATCTGCAAATGATCTCGGGTGCAAAGCTTGTGCAAACCTCTAACACATGGAGGTGTTTTCCAGCTAATAACTGAAGAGAAGCAGCAGCAGCGAGACGGCGGCGCTGATGCTACAGAACCAGGTATGTGTGAGCATCCTGTCCTTCAGGGTCACATGTTGTGACATCACATCCTGTTTGTGGTTCATTTAGATGTCCTATATCAGTGGAACTGCACCAGGGTTCGTTTTAATTGAACCAAACCTGCCAAGTGTGAACATCTCTTTATGAAATGTCATATAAATGCAACTACAATCACACCAGTTGTTTTGTATCTTTAGGTCTGGTGTTCGAATGGCAGTGTGAATGTGAATCAGAACTAAATGTATCATTTCCGTTTTTGGTCCGAGCCAAAGCAAACGAGCTGAACTGGATGAAGACATCACTGAATCATCAATCAACTGACTTTAGCTGGAAAATGACTCTGTTATTGTCTTCTTGCATTATTGACAAACTATTTTCCTGCTTGACTCTGTAAAGCTGCTTTGATACGATCAGTATTGTATAAAGTGCTATACAAATAGGAAAAAAAAAAAAAGTGTTTGTCCAAGCTGTCAGTGGCTGCTGGTGAGTGTGTGTGTGTGTGTGTGTGTGAGAGAGAGAGAGTGTGTGTGTGTTAAGAGTGTGTGTGTGTGCGCGCGTGCGTTAGAGAGTGTGTCTGTGTGTGTGAGTTAGAGTGTGTGTGTGAGAGAGTGTGTGAGTGTGCGTTAGAGAGTGTGTGTGTGTGTGAGAGAGAGTGTGTGTGTTAAGAGTGTGTGTGTGTGTGTGTGTGCGCGCGTGCGTTAGAGAGTGTGTTTGTGTGTGTGAGTTAGAGTGTGTGTGTGAGAGAGTGTGTGAGTGTGCGTTAGAGAGTGTGTGTGTGTGTGTGTTAAGAGTGTGAGTGAGTGTGTTTGTTAGAGTGTGCGAGTGTGTGTTGGAGTGAGTGTTTGTGTGTGTGTTAGAGTGTGTGTGTGCGTGCGCTTGTTAGAGGTGAGAGTGTGTGTGTGTTAGAGTGTGTGTGTTAGAGTGAGTGTGTGTTTGTTAGAGTGAGTGTTAGAGTGTGTGTTTGTGTTAGAGTGAGTGTTAGAGTGAGTGTGTGTGTTAGAGTGAGTGTTTGTGTGTGTGTTAGAGTGTGTGTGTGCGCGTGTTAGAGTGAGAGTGTGTGTTTGTGTGTTAGAGTGAGTGTGTGTTTGTTAGAGTGAGTGTTAGAGTGTGTGTGTGTTAGAGTGAGTGTTTGTGTTAGAGTGAGTGATAGAGTGTGTGTTAGAGTGAGTGTTAGAGTGTGTGTGTGTTAGAGTGAGTGTGTGTTTGTTAGAGTGAGTGTTAGAGTGTGTGTTTGTGTTAGAGTGAGTGTTAGAGTGAGTGTGTGTGTTAGAGTGAGTGTTAGAGTGAGTGTGTGTGCGTGCGCTTGTTAGAGTGAGTGTGTGTTTGTGTGTTAGAGTGTGTGTGTGTTAGTGTGAGTGAGTGAGAGTGTGTGTGTTAGAGTGTGAGTGAGTGAGTGTGTTAGAGTGTGAGTGAGTGTTAAGTGTGTGCGTGTGTGTGCGTTAGAGAGTGTGTGTTAGAGTGTGTGTGCGTGCGTTAGAGTGTGTCTGTGTGTGTGTGTTAAGAGTGTGAGTGAGTGAGTGTGTGTGTGTGTTTGTGTTAGAGTGAGTGTTAGTGTGTGTGCGCGTGTTAAAGTGAGAGTGTGTTTGTGTGTTAAGAGTGTGAGTGAGTGAGTGTGAGTGAGTGAGAGTGTGTGTTAGAGTGTGAGTGAGAGTGTGTGTGAGAGTGTGAGGGAGAGTGTGTGTGAGAGTGTGTGTGAGAGTGTGAGGGAGAGTGTGTGTGAGAGTGTGTGTGAGAGTGTGAGGGAGAGTGTGTGTGAGAGTGTGTGTGAGAGTGTGAGGGAGAGTGTGTGTGAGAGTGTGTGTGAGAGTGTGAGGGAGAGTGTGTGTGAGAGTGTGTGTGAGAGTGTGAGGGAGAGTGTGTGTGAGAGTGTGTGTGAGAGTGTGAGGGAGAGTGTGTGTGAGAGTGTGTGTGAGAGTGTGAGGGAGAGTGTGTGTGAGAGTGTGTGTGAGAGTGTGAGGGAGAGTGTGTGTGAGAGTGTGTGTGAGAGTGTGAGGGAGAGTGTGTGTGAGAGTGTGTGTGAGAGTGTGAGGGAGAGTGTGTGTGAGAGTGTGTGTGAGAGTGTGAGGGAGAGTGTGTGTGAGAGTGTGTGTGAGAGTGTGAGGGAGAGTGTGTGTGAGAGTGTGTGTGAGAGTGTGAGGGAGAGTGTGTGTTAGAGTGAGTGTTAGTGTGTGTGCGCGTGTTAAAGTGAGAGTGTGTTTGTGTGTTAAGAGTGTGAGTGAGTGAGTGTGTGTGTGTTAGAGTGTGAGTGAGAGTGTGTGTTAGAGTGTGAGTGAGAGTGTGTTAGAGTGTGAGTGAGTGAGTGTGTTAGAGTGTGAGTGAGTGTTAAGTGTGTGCGTTAGAGAGTGTGTGTTAGAGTGTGTATGCGTGCGTTAGAGTGTGTCTGTGTGTGTGTGTTAAGAGTGTGAGTGAGTGAGTGTGTGTGTGTGTGTTAGAGTGAGTGTTAGTGTGTGTGCGCGTGTTAAAGGGGGTG